GGCCTAACTGGGTCAATGCCTGCAAGAGTCAGCCTTGCTTGTGCAATCCTTTCTGGGTAAAAATGATAACTAGCATTTGGCAGTTGGTGAGAGGAGTTTTCATAACACACACACACACACACACACACACACCAGTTTAAAAGGGAGGATTCATGCCTGCAAATATGGCATTTATTAAAATATTTAAGTAACATGAGATTTAAGAACCTGTACAGCACATGTATCTTCAGAATTCTGCACATATTGAGAAATGGGAGATCAGGGGGCGGGGGAATGTTGTATGCAGACAATGGATATGGTGATATATTACAAATGCACATATTTTCCTTATTTGCTTATCTGTTATTTTAATAACTCCCTCAACCTTTGCTTTCTATTCTCTGCTTTGATTCTCTGCTAGGCAATGCTGTCTTCTTCTTGTGATATTAAAAGAGCCAACAAAACGTTTGGCAGAAAGCAGAAAGCAGCTCACTCCATGGCCTTGTATACAAAACTAGGCCAAGCTCCAGCTCTAGACAGATGAACCCTGGAATTTATTTATGCCAATTTGTTTAGTCAATGAGCCATGATCCCATCAATTCTATCTCTTAGAACAAGTCTTGTTAGTCATGCAACACAGATTGTTTTCTAAGAACTGGTACTATGTGTCCTAACTCTTGTTTTCTGTATTTGTTTAACCATAGTTACCTACTTTCCTATCTCTTATCGCATGAACGATACGCAGACTCAACTGGGCACTGCAAAGTTTGGTGTGAACTTGGCTTGTTTACCATTTCCTGCTTAGTGTCATGTCTATCTCGATAGCTATAGGTCTCTCATCGTTTGGTACTCCAAAATTAAATAGATCAAATACAAACAGCAGGTCTAAATTTAGCAAATCCTTTCCTGTTGCTATGGTGTAACAATAACCAGCCATATGGAGACAAATAGGTACAGTCAGTTTCCTGGCTGCTGGATGAAAGAACTCAGGCAGAAGTTTCTATTGTGCCCAGGGAGTAAATGAGAAATGATTGGCTCTTTGTGTAAAGCTTAATGGAACAATACTACACTTGAGAGTTCTGCTTTAAAGTGAAGCTTCTTCTAACACACCTTTCAATCAATTGCCTTTAAAAAAATCTTAATACTTCAAATTTTAATATCTATTTTGTGTGATTTAATATTTACTTCAGAGTTTGCTGCTCATGTGACCACCAAAGCAATTTTTTTAAAAAATCCAGATTTTTCTGCATCCGCCCACATGGTGTTGTTTTCATTCCATCACTACTCCAGAATCAAACCACTTTTTCTGACATTTGTGAAAGGTCCAGAATGGTTCTGCAATATTTTCACTGTGTGGTAGGTATTTTGTGCAATTTCCTGCTGTTATGTGTGGTGATGAAGGTAGGGGTTTGAGCAACTTCCATTTTGCTTTTTTGACAGGAAGCGGTCATTGCAGCCTCTAAAATGATGGATAGCACCCCTGGCTGGGAATGACGTGAGTATTTCCTTTGTCTATTCTCTTAATCTTCCATACGGTCAGAGTTCTAGAATACCAGGTTTATATATCCCCAAAAAACACACACACACACCCTAAAACCCTCACAACAGGTGGAATCAGTATCCTAGGTGTATGCTCATAGCTCTGACAATTGGTTGGTGAAACAAGGGGATAGAAGGGTTATGACTGCAGACACATAACTTTTTTTCAATCTGAACAGATCCTGATGTTGTTTTAGATGGGTAAAAGTACAGTCAGTCTCCAAAGAACATGCAACTCACTGTTTGGATGGTCCACTGCAATTTTGCTCCAAAATATACCAGAACAAACAGCAGCTAGAGAGCTACAAACAGTATGACTAGAAGGAATCTCTGTGGCACCCAAAGGATAAGTGATTCACATATTAGTGGGTTGCGCTCAGAATGAACATAAACTTTATCTATTAGGCAATTAATATATTCCCGCGGGAAAACCTGCAGCAAGATGAAGGGGCAAAGAGAAACAGTTGAATACCCACTTAGCCTAGTTACCTAAGAAGAGAGTTTAAAGCAAACTAGGGCAGATACAGAAAGTGCCAAAGAATGCCCAAGGCCATTCAATAAAGCTACAAGGACAGCAACAAGAAAGCTGGATTGAGAGCCAGTTGCAAAGGCACTAAATTGTGTAGCTGTTTTATTTAGATTTATTGTTTCATGGTATATGATGTGAACTAATCAATTTAGTTATATAAACATAATTATTCTATGGTGATAGTTAATTTCCTCCTTTTGGATTTCTTGCAGTAATTCTATGACTCACTGGAACTGTATAATTATAATGAATGGCAGGCTGTAATGCATTTTAGTTCCATTCATTATGGATGAGTATGCACCAGTTAGCAAAGATTTCACTTTTTCTCTCTGAGCAATGCTGCTGGTCTGAAAAATAAAATCAATCCATGCTACCCACCCAAGATTATGAATGAGTCAAATGATGTCATTTCCTTCAAGATGTGGATTTGGAAAGAATGTGTATAGCTACAAGGTCCTAGAAATATGACCTAAAAGGGGGCTTTTCTTGGTGATCTTTAACATTTTCTCCTAGAACAAGTCAGAAGAAGAAGAGGAGGAGGAGGAGTTTGGATTTGATATCCCACTTTATCACTCCCTAAGGAGTCTCAAAGCGGCTAACAATCTCCTTTCCCTTCCTCCCCAACAACAAACACTCTGTGAGGTGAGTGAGGCTGAGAAACTTCAGAGAAGTGTCACCAGCCCAAGGTCACCCAGCAGCTGCATGTGGAGGAGTGGGGACACAAATCCAGTTCACCAGATTACAAGACTACCGCTGTTAACCACTACACCACACTGGCTATAGGATATATAGCCCTCATACAGCAAACAAGAGACACATAATCCATGTATTCTCCCCCTTTCCCCTAGTGTTGGGTTACCAGACGTCCCCGTTTCCCGGGGACGGTCCCCAGGTTTGCGAATAAGTTCCCGGAGAAATTCCATCCCTGGAATGTCCCCAGATTTCATCTAATGCCCCTGGGAAACACAGCAGTGGCAGTCTCAGCAGCCCGGAGCAGTTGGCTCTGACTGGCTTCAGGAGCTGCTCAGAAGTCCCCATTATGATGGTGGTGCAGGGGCTCTAAGATGCAGCTTCCGGGCTGCCTCCACCTTCCCTGACCCCAGAAACTAAGCTGTGGCTTCATGCTGCCTATCAGAGCAGCCTCCCAACTCCTACTTGCATGCAAGCAGGAGCAGGGCAGGGATCCCTCAGCTGGGAAGGGAGGCTTCAAGCTGCCTATAAGAGCTTGAGTGCAAGCAGGAGGGGGCAGGGATCTCTCAGGCAACGGGAAGCCTCCCTTCCCAGCTGAGGGATCCCTGCCCCCTCCTGCTGGCACGCAAGTAGGAATGGGATTTTGGCTGCTCCGATGGGAAGGGAGGCATTGCACTGCTCAAGCCTCGCCACTGCCGCTGCTCTCGGCCCTCCTTCTCCGCCTTCCATGCCTGACCCACCATGCACCACTTCCCCACCACCAAAGAACCAACAACTCAGGGGCTGCCCAGGCTCATGGAGAAAGGAGATAGAAGCCTCAGAGGAAGGGGAAACGTGGCAGTTGAGGTCAAGGCAGTGGCCGCCCCTCTGCCACCACCATCGCTGCAGCATCAACGTCCCAAACGTGTAGTATTGATTGATTGATTGATTGATTGTGTCCCCGGATTCAGTGAAAAAGATCTAGTAACCTTAGGCCTAGTGCCATCCAGCCCTATTTCAGGAAGTATAGTGATGGGCTTGTTATGTTTTAATATTGTTTATTGTGATTTTATTAATGTATTTTGATGCTGTTTGTAGTACACCTTAGAAAGATTTGTATTCTGAAAGGCAGGATGTAAATAATAAATACTAATAAACCACAGTTAATTGGTGATGGTATTTCCATTTACTGTGGTTAATGCTGGATGGGAAAATCTTCCGAACGGGTCACAAAGATCCAGCATTGCATTACAATATATATCCATACCTCTATGAAGAAAGTTCTTTAAAGTGGACAATTTTTTTGTATTAAAAAATGTACCAAAAGTATGGTTAGAAAGTAACTTCTCCAGTGTTCAGAGATTTTCTGGCTATAGATATTTTTTCAGTGTATTTCATTTAACTCTACAATGGAAAGTGCCTACAACCTCTAAAGGTTTACCATCATACCACTTTAAACTGTTATGGCTTTGCCCCAAGGAATCCTGGGAACTGTAGTTTAACAATCAATTTAACTGTGGTTTTAATAGTCAATCTCCCATCCCAGGGAACTCTGACAAGTGTTACCTCTGTTAAGGTAATGGAGGGGGGGGGGGTCTCCTCAGCATCCTTAAGAAACTACAGTTCCCAGGATTCCTTGGGGGAAGCCATAACTGTATAAAGTAGTAAAATACTGCTTTCAAGATATAGTGCAGATGGAGCCCCAGTCTCGTTTACATTAGTCATATTTATTTATTATCTGCTTTGGGGCGGAGTGTCTACCAAAGCAGCTCACTCCAAGCAACTGCTGGATAAGTGTAAGAGAAAAGTAATATACTTACTAACCTGAATAAGCATCCAGCTGAACTGGCAAAGATAGAGATAGTGAGTGATGGAGCCCAAAGCAGAGCAGCTTTCCTCTGAGAGTTGTTGGCTTGTGTAAGCGGAGGCCAAAAATGAAATCTGGAAGGAAAATCATAATCATCATTAAAAGGGTACATAACAATAAAGAAAATGTGTTTAGAATAGGGAAGAAAACCAAAAGGATCCACCTCTGTACATGTTAATGTTCTGAGACCAATTTCTTAAATACAAGGACTGAGAAATAAATTCAATGGAAATCTAGCAGCTCTGAATTGTTACTATTTATATTTTTTATATTTATTCATATTTTTTTTAAAAAAGCCATGAAACTAAAAGCAGCTTGCAAAAATGAACATTAAAACAAGGGTAAAAGCAAGGTTAAAACAACCTTAAATAAGATATTATATGTCTCTCTCTCTCTCTCTCTCTCTCTCTCTCTCTCACACACACACACACACACACAAACGTTCTGCTTATCTTTTAGTAGGGAGGGGGTGCAGTTGACTCTCATACATTTATAGGTGTGTGTGTGTGTGTGTGTGTGTGTGTGTGTTTGTGTTTGTGTGTGTATGATTCAACTGCACCCCTCCCTACTAAAAGATAAGAAGAAAGTCATGATCCCAAATTTGGTGAATATGAATGTTTCCACCTGCTGCTAAGAACAGATTGTGATGGTACCTCCATGGCATGCCTCCCCAAGGAAAGAATTTCATAAAGCGGAGAAAGCCCATTCTCAAGAACTAAACACTGAGTACAGTTGCAGAGTACAACAAGGAGTATCTGTCATGGACTGGCTGGATGCAGAGAAATGATGGAAGGAGCCAGCTGGGGAATCCCCAAAGGAGGAAGGCTCAGGGCCAGGGGAGTGGTGGTGGGACGATGATGAGTGGTCAGAGGGGGAAGAGGAAGCAGACTAGGAGGAGGTGGTGTTGGAAGCAGAAGAGGTAACAGGGTTTAGTGAGCAGGAAGAGGCTTGGCAGACAGCATTCCAGAATCGGAGACAGAAGCGAGTCTGGAGAGGAGGGGGCCAAGAGGCAGAGATCAGGCAGGCTGCTAAAGAAGCCAGGGAGTCTTCCCATCCTGCTGTGACCAGCTCGCCTCCCCACTGGTCTCCCAGGACCAGAAGAGGTATGAAGAGGGCAGAGCAAAGAGAGACAAGACAAAGGAGCCTCAGGTTGATTGCAACATACATTACAATCATTTCTGCTTCTTACATGGATAGGTAAGAAGATTTCCACAGATTTTACTGGTGCAAGTTGCTTCAGCTGAAGTTATCCAGCCATTTCTGTATTCTGTGCTACAAAGGAGGTTTTACATTTGAGACTGTTCAATTGGCAATTTTTGCTTCATGGAGGCCCTATGCCATCGTCCTGGGCATAGAGTCAGAAGGGAACAGCTAGGCCACAGCAGTCCTAAATGTGCTGCAACACTGGGAGGTGGCTCCCTTTTCTGGCAGTGTGTGCAGTGTGTGTGTCTCCTTTCTGACACCCACAAAGTTGTTGAGCTTTTTTAAAATAAGACTACATCTGGGTTTTCCCTGACATTCCTTGCTAAATCCCCCCCTCCCCGACACCATTTTTAGGACATGTCAGGAATTTTCCTGACATATGGCAAGCCTAGTTAAACTTAACATAGAGCTCAAAGTGCATCCTGGCAACTGTATTTTCTTGTAAGTGATAATACTGTGACATGTAGGGAATGACATCTGCATTGTGAAATGAACACATCACTGAAAATTATTTTGCACTTGAAACATCTCAGCTTGTAAAAGCAAAAGTAAAGAAAAGAAAATATAATGAGCATGCTTGATTACTGCGGAATGTAAACACTGCAAGGTTAATGGCACTCCCTTGCAGGAGGTTTGATCCTACTTGGGTATGTTTCAAAAGATGCTGCTGTTCTTTCTTGCAGGAGTTTTCCTGTGGGGTGCTGCAGGGTTCTGTAACATCCCCTATGGGTACATGAAAGCGCTTGGGGAGGTCATCAAAGAATATGGAGTACAGAATCATCAGTATGCTGATGACACTCAATTACGTCTCCTTCTCCTCAAGTCCCACAAGGCAAGAGAAATCTCCGATTTTCTGTTTGGAATAAGTAATAGGCTGGATGAGGGCCAAAAACGCTATCCAAATAAGGCAGAGATTGTTTACCTGTTCACGAGATTTCTGTACTGTCTTTCAACATACAATTTCTAGTGTAGTTTACAGTGTAAAAACCAAAACAATATAACAAAAACAATTGACATTTGTCTTCTCCCAGGCCTTTGGCTAATTAAACACTCCATGGCCTTTTAAATTGTGGTTGGTGGTATGTTCTTGTTTGTTACTATGGTATGTATTATTGTGTTTTTATATTATAAACAGGTCTGTGATCCTCAGATGAAGGGTGGTATAGAAATCTAATTAATAGTTAATTAATTAATACCAATATTAAAAATAAATTAAAATAACATAGTTACAAAATATCTAAGAGAGCCTAGCTTCAAAAAGTATGACATACATATATATACATAAATATGAACCCACACATCCTTCTCCTTCAGGAAAGATAACAAGAAGAAGAAATAACTAACATGGCATGCTAGAAATCTAGGGCCATTTTAGAAAAAAGTGAATTCCTCTTCAGCTTGGATTTAAAATCCAAGCTGAATAAGAGTTTGGAGTTTTTAAATGCTGCCTTCTTGAGAAAAGAATTCTAAGACCCTGAAACTCATGTCCTAAGCATGTAATTAAAAGCACTATGTCAGGGGTTCAGGAGCAGAGGCACAGGAAAGGGAGGAAATAGAGAGCGAGGGGGAGGAGTCCGAAGGAAATGTTAGCGATGACAGCGGTCCGAGGTCTCTGAGTCTTTCCAGCGAATCGGAAGATTCACAGAAAGGGGCTCCCTTGGTCAGAGCAAGGGGGTGCCGAGGGGACACCCCAGGAAGAAGGGGCCAGAGGGGACTCAGAGAGCAGCAGTTGGAAATCAGGACCAGCGTCCACACCAGAGTGCAGTAGGGGGGAGGAGTCCCAGGCATCGGGATCAGGCGGCGCACTGCCAGTGGGAGGACATGAGTCAGGATTGGCCACGCCTCCATCGGGAAGCGACGAAACGGTCGAGAGGAAGGTTGAAGGCTGGGCGCGCGCGCCAAGTTCAAATGTACAGGAGGGCGGCGCAGTTGGCAGCCCGGATAGGGAGCCAGGTCCCAAAGCCCGCCGAAAAGAGGGGAGGAGTCAGGGGGTCAGCGTCAGAAGAATCCAGGAAGGAAGGGACCCGGGGGTAGCAGGACCCAGAGGAGAAAGGAGAGACGTAAGAGGTGGAGTAAGGCTAGAATCTTAAACTGGTGTACAGGGGCGGAGACTCAGATGGAGCTTCGCCGATCTAACCCCTAGACGTAGAGCTGGGGCGCTCCGGCTTGAAAATGGAAACTGTACTTCAATAAAGACTTTTGTACATTACTGCCGGCTAGCGTTGGTCCTCTGTGAGCTGGGACCTGGAGCCAGCTCTGACACACTAGTTTAGATTTCGGCTGGGTGATATATTAATATAGTGTTCCAAACTGGTTTGAAGTCCATATTGTGATACTGATTTCATAATTTTGTGTCTGATAAATGCTTAGGAACCTTTGACTCAAGAGACAAGAAATTTTAGAAAGCACTGCTCATCTTTTTGTAGAAGCTGAGAAAAAACAATAAAGATTGTTAATTCTGGCCATAAATAAATTCATTGCATCCAGGCATGAGTTAATTGCGCTTCATCCAACTAGATTTAGGGAATGTCCAACAGATGGAATAAACTTTGCAAACTTGTTTCTTTCCAGAACTTTTTGCTGAATGCCTTTATACTTTCCAGCCATATTGACCGCATTGTCATATGATTGTCCTCTACATTTACTGAAGTCTATTTCAAGTTCACTGAAGTAGTTCAGTATCAGCTCAGCCATACTTTCACCAGTATGACCAGTATGCATGACATGCATGGGCAACTGGGCCTAGATAGTAAAACCTTCCTTTGGGGGGGGGGGGTAGCAATAGACTGAGGCCCTCCTAGATTATGTGGTCCTGGGCTGCAGCTCGCTCAGTCCATATGTAAATCTGGCATTGCTGGGGCCTTTTGCGTGCAAAGCAGATGCTCTGCCAGTGATCTGCAGCTCCTTCTTGTAAAACTGCTCAGAAAGCTTTTCTGTGGATAAGTACAGAAATGTAATAAATAAATACAACTGACTCACTCAGACGCCAACACTGGTCAGTTTGACATTTCCAGGCACCTGATAAAATATACAGATCTCTCTTCAATGTTTTCCTCTCACTGTGATCATTTAGAGTAAAAATAAATTCTTACTAGGAAGGAGAAAATATCAGCATGTGTCTACTGTGAAAAATGTTGGTTTTGGAACATTTCTTCTCAAGATCATATTATTTCCTATTGAGCTTCATGAATTTGCTTTAAAGAAAATGCCCTGGTAATGCTTCTGTTTCGGTTAACTACAGCTTCAAATATAGCTGCGAGATCATTAATGTTCTTCACTAACACTAATAATAGAAAATATAATCTTTCAAAACAGCTGGTGTTAATCCTTCACTATTTCTTGCAGAAAGGCTTAAAACAAACCGCCGAGATCATTTGAGAACCCTGATAATGCTCCCTTTTGTTAAAGTACGACACAACGCTAAATCTATTCAACTTAAGCACGCAAAACAACCAAAAGCAGAGGAAAAACCAAAAGGCATTTTTAAAAAAGTATTTATTTAGTTGGTTTTATATAAGAACATGGCTAGAAACTGAAGTGAGAGGGTGTGTGTGGTGTTCTGCTCACACCTGGTTCCTCTGTCCCTGAAAAGACCCCTTCATATGCATGTGTATGCATGTGTGTATTATTTATTTCAGTGACGTACAAGGTGAAGTGCTGAGGCTCACTGGTACAGCACATTCTTTATATGCAAAAGGTGCCAGGTTCAATCCTTGGCATCTTCAGACACGGCTGGGAGAACATCTGGCTAAAACCCTAGAAAGTCACTGCCAGTCAATGCAAATACTCAGCTAGATGCACCAGTGGTCTCAGTATAAGGCAGCTTCCTATATTCCTAACAAAAGAAATATATTTACTTTTTTAATAGCAAAACATTCTGGCTTCTTGTTATGAGAATTTAGTATTCACATTTTGGATATAGGTTTTCAGTAATTAAATGTCCTTCCAGGATTGATTGCACACCTGCCTGAAGAGCATGCACACACAAAAGCACATAGATGCTCTGGGCTCTCTAGCTCATGCTACATATATCTATGTCTCATGGTATGCATCCAGTAAACTTCTGGCCCTTGGTGTTTCAAGAAATGTACCATCAGTCTAGGGAGGACTGAGGAGAGAGCCAAACTCTCATGCCTGGGCTACCAAACCCTTCAGTGTTCTCTGTTCCTAGGAGCTACATGACAAATTTTCAAGCAGCGAGCATCATGGGAAACTGGCGAGGGGAGGAAAGAGATAAATTTGAAGGTTTGGGGAGGTGACTTGAAGATTTGGAAGGTTTGGGATGGTTAACATTTTCCTGGATGAGCCTTTAGAGTGAGTTTA